TTTTTTTTTTTTTTTTTTAAGATTTATTTATTTATTAGGTATACAACATTCTGCCTCGATGTATGCCCACATGCCAGAGGAGGGCACCAGATCTCATTACAGATGGTTGTGAGCCACCATGTGGTTGCTGGGAATTGAACTCAGGACCTCTGGAAGAGCAGCCAGTGCTCTTAACCTCTGAGCCATCTCTCTAGCCCCAGACTCTTTTTCTTACACTTACGAAAAAACTAAGATGCCTGTGTTCCGTTACCCATCACAGGTTACCTGTGTGCCATCAGAAATCCTGTCTTTTGGGCTGGAAAGATGGCTCAGTGATTAACACTGCTGGCTGCTCTTCCACAGGACCCAGAGTCCCATTCTCAGCACCCACATGGAATGTCTGTAACTCCATTCCTGGAATCTGAAACCATCTGGCCTCTACAGGTACCAGGCGATGTAGAGAAATATGTACAGTTAAAGCATTCATACACACATTCAAAAAATAAACCAAAAACATTTTCACTAATCTAGTCTTCAGTGATTTTAAACACAGTAAGATAGATAGTTGCCCTATGACTGGTTCAACCATGCCTCCAGACAGCATCTGGAACTTATCTTTCAGCCATAGCTACCAAGTACCACTGTTCCTAATGTCTCCTACTTTTTATTATATGATCAAGTAAAAGCTCACTAAAGTAAGCTAACTTTCATTAACAACTATGGTTTTCAGCTTTCTTTCTAAGATCTACTTATTTATTATGTATATAGTGTTCTGCCAGCATGTATGCCTGCCATGGAAGCCAGAAGAAGGCACCAGAATGCATTATAGATGGCTGTGAGTCATCACGTGGTTGCTGGATATTGAACTTAAGGATGGGTAAAATGTAAAGTCTGATTGTGATGCTGGTAATAGGCATTACTTATGTTGGCATTTAATGTACTTCATAAAATGGCAGTTACTTCTTACTGAAAAGTTCGAAGTTGAAGATTACCACCTCTACTGTGTATCTGCACCTCTGTGTATCGGAAGAAAGAGAATGAAAACCTAGGAAACCTCCCCCAGAGCAAAGAGAGCAAAATGACATTTGTCTGCTGTTAGCATTGCAGCTAGATGGCTTAATGTTTTTTTTTTCCAATTTTTAAATTTTATTTATGCATATGGTATTTTTGCCCGTCTGTATGTCTGTGTAACACACTGCATGCCTAGTGCCTGCAGATGTCAGAAGATGCTGGATCCCCTGGAACTGAAGCTACAGGTGGTTGAGAGTCACCTCAGTGGAGAACAAGGTTATTCGAGATCAACAAGCGCTCTTAACTGCTGACCATCTCTTTAGTTCCTAGACTGTCTCATTATAACATCTGCTCTTCTCGCTTGAATGTATTCTTTTCCTTGTACAGCAGAAGACTAAGTATCCTAAATACCTTACAAAGATAACTGCTGTAGGGTGGATGAGATGGCTCAGCAGGTGAAGGCACTTACAGACAAGCCTGACAACCCGAGTTCAAATTCCAGGATCCACGTGATGGAAGGAAGGAACTGACTCATGACAAGTTGTCATTGCACCTTCCTGAGTGCCATGGAATGAAAGCTCGCACACACATATGCGGGTGCATACACATAATAAACAAAAAAACAAGTAAATAAATGAAGTAACTATACAGGGCGGTGGTGGTACAGGCCTTTAATCCCGGCACTCTGGAGGCAGAGGCAGGCCAGACAGCCAGAGCTGTTACAGAGAGAAACCCTGTCTCAAAAAAACCAAGAGGGGAGGATGGTAACTATCACAGTTTATATTTAAAATAAGCCCTAAAAGCCCACATGTAGATGACATACAGGAAAGTGTTAAGAATTTTAGTAGCGGGCTGGAGAGATGGCTCAGAGGTTAAGAGCATTGCCTGCTCTTCCAAAGGTCCTGAGTTCAATTCCCAGCAACCACATGGTGGCTCACAACCATCTGTAGTGAGGTCTGGTGCCCTCTTCTGGCCTGCAAGCATACACACAGACAGAATATTGTATACGTAATAAATAAATAAATATTAAAAAAAAAAAAAGAATTTTAGTAGCTTGAGGCAGCCAGTAGAAGTAGTTAGATAATCAGTGGTAAGCTCTTGAAGAGGTTATCAGTTTCCTGTCTTCTTCTTCTGTCATCTCCTGACCACCACAGGCAAACAGACTTTTTCTACAACTTTGAAAAACTGTACCACGATGTACTCAGCTAAAACAGACCACTATCCTTGAACGGCTTCTCTTTGTAGGGCTGGGAATTAAATTTAGAGTCCTGAATATAAGACCCGAGGACTAGCACTGAGCAGCACTCCCAGTCCTTCATAAGCATTTAAAATTGTCCCAATGGCTGCTGCCTAAAGATTTCTTTACTGCTTCTTTTATCTTTACCACCAAGCTACATTGCAGGGTCTTATCATATAGCTTAGGTTGGTCTCAAATCCACAATCTTTCTGGCTCAAATGTAGGTATGTGCCATTATACCTGCCACTTTCTATCTCTTAAGACCTCAAGTCATCAAAAGTTTTCTAGCTGCAAACAGGAAAAACTTTTTGAAGACAAGGCCCACCTGTCTGGCCCAAACTCACTATATAGACCTGCCCTTAAACTGTACTTTAACTCAACATCTGCCTGCCTATGCTTCTAAAATGCTGGGATAAAAGGAGTGCAACATAACAAATGGTCTGATCCAAGTGAATTTCCTCAACTTGCCAGCAAGTGACAAGTATTGATGAGCATTACTGCTATTGTAAACAGCTCAGGATTTCTGTGATAAAATACATTTTTCCTATGTATGATTTATAATTTTCTGGTCTGTCTTAGATGTGTCAACTAAAGTTCTTTTTTAATTCCTTACTACCTATCCTCTTGTCTAGATAATCTGATCTTCATTTTTACTGTAATAATGACTGTCATGGGACTAGGTAGAGATTTACTGGGTAAGCTGTTAGCTGCTAAAGTAATGTCAACACCAGAGTAGGCACCCAAGAAAACATCTATTCAAATGCATTGCAGATCTGGTAGCCCTTGTAATTCAAGTTCCCAGAAGGAAGACACAGGGAATCCTGAGATAGACTAGCTGATAGACTAGATATATAGATAACTGATAGACTAAATCAGCAACTTCATGTCTCTACATACAAACATATTCATATGCATGCATAACATACAAAAAACACATTAAGAAAAGAAAACAGGCCGGGCGATGGTGGCACACGCCTTTAATCCCAGCACTCGGGAGGCAGAGGCAGGCGGATCTCTGTGAGTTCGAGACCAGCCTGGTCTACAGAGCTAGTCCCAGGACAGGCTCCAAAAAAAATTACGTTCCAATGCTGAGGGTAATTAAAATGGCCCAGTCTAGTGTTTGCTGGTCTCACCAATTCTTTAATGTCAAACACTTCCAAACTCTGGCTATCTACCTACCATTCTCCAAAGGTCCGTGAAATTTCTCTCTCTCTAGTAAAACCTTGATGGATGATCACAGTCTACACCAATCTTGCTCTTATGAATTGTATTTAGTATTTAATTTATTTGAAATGTACTTAAAGGTCTTAAAAATCTGCTGTTTAGGGGCTGGAGAGATGGCTCAGCAGTTAAGAACATTGCCTGCTCTTCCAAAGGTCCTGAGTTCAATTCCCAGCAATCACATGGTGGCTCACAACCATCTGTAATGGTGCCCTCTTCTGGCCTTCAGGCATACACACAGAAAGAATATTACATACATAAATAAATAAATTAAAAAAATCTGCTGTTTAATTTCAAACCTGTACTACTATATCCAGCAATTACAACAGAAAGAGCCTAACAGTTACGCCTTTGTACTGCTCTTAAGCAGCAAGAAGATTCAATTGTGCAGAATAGAAAGTGAACTGCTGCTCACTAGGGCTTGCTCTTTGTAAGCAAGACATTTCACTTGAATCAATACAGAGTGAAACTCATCCAGGCAATTATGTGTTTTAGTTAAGTGCACTAGAAATAAGAGTATTTTCAGCCTTAGGGCTCCATATAAAGGAGGAAAATAAACTGATATGATGAGTGCTGCAACTGAAGGGACCCAGTGCCGTGCAATGATGGAGATGGAAGGACACACAGAGAAATCTTGCCTTGAAAACCAAACACATATAAAAACAAACAGGAGGGCTGGAGAGATGGCACAGTAGTTAATAGAACAAGGGGGTCTTCAAGAGAAGCTCAGTTCCCAGAACCATTTCTCACAATCATCTTTATTTTCAGCTGTAGGCAAGGTGTTCAGCTGACCGATAGGACAGATTTCATGCTATTAAAGGGGCAAGCTTACAAAATGAAACTGGTGAGTTGGCACTGGCAGAGTCTGGTGATGAGAGTATAATTATATACATGTAACAGGCACTGACTGGGTATCTAAATGAATAATTTTGTCAGAAAATATAAATATATATAATGGTATATGATTTATTATCAAACCTGTTTTTCAAAGCTCATACCTTAGAGGGAGGTGGTGCAGGTTTAGGAACCAAGTTCTTATAGACACTTGGGACCATGGTTGACACTTTGTTCCCATTTGCATGGTGGGATCCTGATGAGGTGAATGCAGCAGAGAAGGCAGCGGCAGGATCCTCTTTGGAAACTTTTTTGATGACTAGCATCTTTGAGGGTTGCTTGGCACTAGGTGGGTTTTCTGTGAAATATAAGAGTGGGGACACACAAAAAAGTCACATTTGTAAGTAACACAGAAAAGTTTAACTAATAGCCTTTCCTGCAATATAGGTAGGTGATGAAGTTGAGACCAAGGGACAAACATTACCTTGTGTTCATTTAACAAATACCTTGAAAAATAACAGTATGGGTAGGTAGAGAAGCAGCCCAGTTGGTGAAATATTTATCAAGCAAGTGTTGAGTATATGAGTTAATCTCTAGAACATGAGTTTAAAAACAAAACAAAAAAGATGCATATTCTTGTAAACTTATCATTGGAGGGGAGAGATAGGTGAATCCCTGGGATTCTCTGGCCTGCCAGCCTAGCATACTAGGCCAATGAGACAGTGTTTCTAAAACAAGGTGGATGGCTCGTGAAGACCACCACCCAAAGTTGACCAAGTCTTTCCTTTGTACATGCCCTCATGTTCATGTCCCTTAGGAAAAAATAATAAAATTTTTCAAAATTTAAAAAATTTCTTTACTTAATGTGCATGAGTGTTTTGTCTGCATACTTTATGCATACCTAGTACCCGTGAAGGTCAGAGGAGGGTATCAGATATCCTGGAGTTACAGATGACTTCGAGCTGCCACGTAAGGGCTGGGAATCAAACCCTGGTCCTCTAGAAGAGCAGCCAGTACTCTTAAAAACTGAACCGAACCATCTCTCCAGTCCCTTAATTTGTTTTTAATAGTCTCACTATGTAGCTTTGGCTAGCCTGGAAACTCACTATGAAGCCCAAGCTGTCTCCAAACTCAGAGATCCTAAATACGTACGCAGACACTCGGGCACACCCCCTTTCTTCTAAAAATAAACAAATCTTTAGGGCTAGAGATGTCTCACTATTAAGAGCACTGGCTGCTCTTCCAGAGGACCCAGGTTCAATTCACAGCAAATACATGGCAGCTCCTAACTCTGTAACTCCAGTTCCCTGGGATCTGACACCTTCACACCAATGCACATAAAGTTTAAAAAAAGTTACTTAAAAAAAAAAAAAATGAAAAAACAAAAACAAATAATTCAAGTTAAAACCACCAACAAAACCCCAAGTCTTAATCAGGACCCAGCAAGGTTCCAATGGTCTATTCTGTCTCCACTACAATTACTACGCCTGGATGGTTTTAAGGAGACAGACTACTCTCTATCTTTGTGGATGCTTCGTGAAGAGCTAACAGGTGTTAGCTACCCTAGGCAAGAAGATGAGAAACAAAAACTAACTTAAGAACAAACAAACTAAAATAATATTTTTCCCCCTCTACTCAGTAATAAGAATTTCAGGATTAGAAGAAAGATGGCCCAGAGGTTAAGAACACTGGCTGTTCTTCCATAAGTCCTGAGTTCAATCCCCAGCAACCTCTTTGTGGCTTACAAGACATGCATGTGGACAGAACACTATATACACAATAAATAAATCTGTAAAAAAAAAAAAAAAATCAAACAGACTTTTAAAATAGCAAAATCTACCTACCCCATACTCCAGAAGGGGTCCCAAAAGGTCTGCATGGCTGATTCTGTTTGCCAGCTTCTGGATTCAAAGAAGGCTACAATAAAAAAGGAGGGGGGTATTAATGATTGACAGATACAGAAAGCTCATCACTTTGGAATTTTTCACAAAGTAGCCATCACTAAATGGGTGTACAACTAACAAATACAGCTACCAAAAAGTTATAAATTATCAGAACCAACAAATTTAAAAGTATTTTAAAAATGTAAACTATGTTAAAATCTAAAATCAGTAGACACTATGGTATTTTTAGCTTGTATTTCCTTTGTCATAGGATTTCTTTTTCTTTCTTTTTTTTTTTTTTTTTTTTTTAAGTTTTGTTGAGACGGTTTCTCTGTAGCTTTGAAGCCTGTCCTACAACTTGCTCTGTAGACCAGGCTGGCCTTGAACTCACAGAGATCCTCATGCCTCTGTCTCCCGAATGCTGGGTTCAAAGATGTGCGCCACCACTGCCTGGCTTGTCATGGGATTTCTTATACACACACACACACACACACAATACAAATATGCATCCTATCTTTCAATAGAGTAAATATGCAAAAGGAGGCATAGAAAGCCACAGAACAAGAATGTTAGTATTTTCCTCATATTCAAGGAGAGTAACATTGTCAGTGAAATGCGTGCGTAGTATTCACTGAAGTTATAAGACTGCACTAGAACAGAAACTATATTCCAGGATTATATAAAGGATACAAAGGCAATTAAAATAGCCCCAGTCCTCACAGGTTCATTCATCATTAAAAAGATAAAACTAATAACCAAGTAAGTATCACAAAAGGTTCTACTATAATAAAAATTCACATTGGGCAAGGACTACTGAAAGGGGCTGGATAAATCCTTAGCAGAGAAATGAGAAGTTCAATTACAGGTGATGACAGTATGATTCCAAGAACTGAAAGCTCAATAAATACATCAAACCAAGTTTAGCTTGGACTTAACTAATTTTATAGAGGATAGAAGGGATTAAACACAATGGTGTCCAGAGTAGAAACTGTTCTAAATCAGGGTCACACCACTAGCCCCTGGGCCTATGTTCTTAAATTATATTCTATCTATAGTTCTAAGATACTGTCCCTATTTATGCAGTATCTGTAATCTCATCACATCTATTTAACTTAAATTGTGTGTGTGTGTTTGTACCTGAGTGCAGTGCCTGATGAGGCCAGAAAAGGGCACCAAGTTCTTTGGACCAGAAGCCACCCAATGTGGGTGCTGAGAGTCAAACGTGGGCCCTCTGCAAGAGCACTAAGCACTTTTAAACCTTTAACTACCTATCTAGCACACTGATTGGTTTGTTTCTTTTGTTGTTGTTGGTTTTTTTTTTTTTTTTTTTTTGAGATAGGGTTTCTCTGTGTAGCCCTGATTGTACTGGAACTCACTCTGTAGACCAAGCTAGCCTTGAACTCTGAAATCTGCCTACCTTTGCCTTTGAAGTGCTGGGATTAGAAGTTTGGGTCACCACCTTGAGACTGACACTGATTTCTTTTTTTTTTTTTTAAAAGCAGTTTAAAAATGAGATGACCCAAGTATAAAATCCCAATATCCCACAATGGAAAGAAATTTACTACAAGCAGCCTTCTGACTTCACGTGCTGGCCCTGGCACACCACTCAGACACACAAAAATAAATAAATAGGCAAAAAGCTCTTTCAACTACCACTCATTAACAAATACATTACTGACTAAACCAGCAATACTTAGTAAGTTTTACCTCTCTAACCAAATCCTTCCCTTCTAAAAATAACTAGCTAAACTTAAGGAATCATTTCTTCTCTTTTACTTCCCAGGTGTGCATCTATAAACACTTTCTATAAGTTAAAATTTACATTATCGTCCCTATGGTGAAAGATGTACAATTATGAACTCATGAATCTAACTATATTTGATGTAATATAAACTGTTATCTTTAAATAATTTCAGATAAGCATCCCATTTCTGGTCAGTAAAAATCTCTTTGCTCTTTTATTTATGTATGTATTTTGTTTTTTTCTGAGACAGGGTTTCTCTGTGTAGCCCTGGCTGTCCTGGAACTCACTCCATAGACCAGACTAGCATTCAACTGAAGAGATCCATCTGTTTCTGTGCCCTAAGTGTTGGGATTAAAGGTGTGCATCACTAGGTCCAGTTTTGATTTTTTTTTAAGTTTATTTTTATTATATGTATGCTTGTGTGTCTGTGTTGGCCAGATGCCTTAGAATCTCCTGGAGTTGAACTTATGGGTCATTGTGAATCATTTGATGTGGGTTTTAGAAACTGAACTCAGGTTGTCTCCAAGAGCTTAAATGCTAAGGCCACCTCTCTCCAAACACTTTTTTACATTCTTATCTTGTATGTGAGTGTCTCTGTATGTATGTAAGGACATGTGCCACTCAGTGTATGTGCAGTTCAGAAAACAACTTGATAGTCACTTCTCTTCTTTGGCATAGGTTCTAGGCATTGAACTCGGGTAGTCAGGCTTGGTGGCAGAGAACTATCCATGGACCCAGCAAACTGGCCCATGAATCTTTTTGACAGACCCTAAATAGCCTTTAATTCTTTCATATGTAGAATGAAAAAATACTTTATCTTTTAATACACTGTTCACAAATGTATTTCAAGACCACAATCTAGGTACCAGGTTGTCCACTGATATGGGGATTTGATTTGTTTTTAATAGGAACAACCAAATTTAAAGACAAATAACTAATAATTTATTGAAATTTCCAATCCTGTTAAAGTTGGGTTCAAGTGTGGGTTTTGTGTTTATTTTAAAGGGTATTTTTGTCTGCATGTATGTCCATGTACCACATGCATGCCTGGTGCCTGTGGAGGCAAGAAAAGTATGTTAGATCTCCTGGAACTAAGGTCACAGATGGATGTGAGCTGCCCGGTGAGTGCCGGGAACTGAACCAAGTCCTCTGCAGTAGCTGCCAGTGCTTTCAATTATGGAGCCATCTCTCCAGCTCAAACCTGAAGGCCAGATAGCTTTGATCCTCCTGCAGCAGGAGCCTCTCTATCTTATACTCACCTACTTTAGACTATGTATGATATATACAATAGTCTCTGAGTAGCAATGTCAGTATTTCACAGAAAACATTAGAACTTTCAGAAATGCTTTTTCCTTCCTTCCTTCCTTCCTCCCTCCCTCCCTCCCTCCCTCCCTCCCTTCCTTCCTTCCTTCCTTCCTTCCTTCCTGAGACAGGGTTTCTCTGTAGCTTTGGAGCCTGCTGGAACTCACTCTGTAGGCCAAGCTGGCCTCAAACTCATGGAGATCTGCTTCTCTCCGCCTCCTGAGTACTGGGATTAAAGGCATGAGCCACTGCCCAGCTCAGACATGTTTTTCTTATTTTCTCCTCAAAAATAATCATACAGTATCTTCACTTTAGGAACTATAGTTTTTATATGTTGTATTCTGTTAATTCATAGACATACACACATATACATTTATCAAAGACAGTGTGTGCATGCTAGAAAAGTACTCTGTCTTTAATCTAAGTACTACCAGTTCCTGATTCTATTCAGGAATCAGCTGGAACCAGGAGAGACCACTCACATATGACAATATGAACTCTATTACTGAGTCATAACCACAGACACTGACCACACGGTGAACATTTGTCTTTTGTTGACATCTTTCTGATTGTCTGAAGCTTATTCTCTAGTAATATTGTCATGAAATTAAGAGACAATATCCCGAGACTTTGGTTTGTTTCTGTCTTTGGTATACACGTGTACATGCATCCTTGTGTACAGGTTTGAATGTCAGAGGCTGATGTTGGGTTCTCTGTTGCTCTCAAACAGGGTCTCTTTAGTACAACCTGGCGCCTATGTTTAAGTTACACTAGCTGGCTAGTCAACCACTGTAGCTGTTTTCCTCACCTATCACCAAGCTGGGGTTACACAGAGGGTGCCGCTATGCCTCTTCTGTGGCGTGATGGAAAGCTAAACTGACCTTCTCTTGACTATATGGCACCCTCAGCCCTAGCTGTCTCCTCTGCATATCTTTCTTAAATACTGATGCAGACCTGTGACCATTTAACAGAGAATACACTTAATAGTGTGTAAAACTGTTGGCTCCTATTTTCTTTCCTTGAGTATTTTCTTTACTAATTTTACTTCTCTGTTGCACAAAGGGCTATTGTCTAAATATATCTGATTTTCCTTCTTACAAACCAAAATCTTAGATATATAAAAGGTATTTTTCTTCTTTGTTTATGCCTAGTAACTTCAGTACTTGACAATATGGCTCAATCTTTTTTCAATTTATAGCCTCAAATTTTATTCTATTTCCAAAAAAACCTTAAATTACACTTTTCAGCATTTAAGCTATTATTTTGCCTTCATTTTCTAAATTGTGTCCTATTATATATGCCCTTAATCTTTTGTCAAACTTGTTTTACTTTCTCTAAATTTTCATGTCTAATTTCATTACTAAAGAAATTCTTTTTTCCTAATTACTGAAAAAAAATTAGCATTCATTCTTGTTTTTCTCATTTTACATTGTTTTCTGAAATCTCCATTTTAATTTTTTGTTTTGTTTTTGCTTTTTTCATGTAGGGTTTCTCTGTGTATCTTTGGATTCTGTCTTGGAACTCACTCTGTAGACCTGACTGTCGTCCTCAAACTCACCTGCCTCTGCCTCCCAAGTACTGGGATTAAAGGCAGGCACCACCACCGCTGGGTTAAATCTTCCATTTTTTAAAGTATCATTTTTTTTTTAAGTTCTCGTCTTAGTTCAATCCCCAGGATCTACACAGTGGAAAAACTAGCTCTTCCAAGCTGTCCTCTGACCTCAATACATGTATGTGCACGGCATGTGTGCATTTATACATATGTAACAAGTAAATGGAATTAACATATAGTCTTAGCATCAAATTTCATTGACTATAATTAACAGCCAAAATATAATTACTTTACAAAATAAAGAACAAAATTCACAGAAAAACAAACATTTATGATAAAGACATAATAAACAGATATAAACAGAAATAAATTCAAATGGGTCCTGTGGTGATGGCAGCAACGCACACCTTCAATCCCAGAACTCTGGAGGCAGATGAATCTCTGTGAGTTTAAAGTCAGCCTGGTTTACTAAGTAAGACCCTGACAAGAGAAAATAGAGTCCTATATTTTTACAAGACTTTTTTTTTTTTTTTTTTTTTTTTTTTGGTTTTTCGAGACAGGGTTCTCTGTGGTTTTGGAGCCTGTCCTGGAACTAGCTCTTGTAGACCAGGCTGGTCTTGAACTCACAGAGATCCACCTGCCTCTGCCTCCTGAGTGCTGGGATTAAAGGCATGCGCCACCACCGCCTGGCGACATTGTTTTTAACTATGCATTAAAAGCTTCATACTTACAAAGTCTTCTTCTTCGAACTGCAACTTTTCTATTTTATCCTCTTTTTTTTCTTCCCTAATCTCTGTTGGTGGTTTTTCTTGAAAGGTGCAGCCTTTCCGGGAGTGGAAGCTACCATTCCAGTGTCGATGGTTTCCTGTGCTACCTCCACTCCGCTGGCTCATGCCATCATGACCTCGGGAAGAGCCATGCCAACCAGATGGATTCCCTGTGTTTCCAGCATATGTTCCCTTAGAGACACCAGAGTCCACAGAATCATGGCGGAATAGAGAGGGTTGGTGCCAAGAATCTAAAATAGCAAGGAAAAGTAAGGTATTGTCTGTTTCTTATAAATTCAGAAATAACTTGGCCAGATGCTTCCTGCTTTGGTCAAAGTTACTTTCAAAAGTCCTTCAGGGGGCTGGAGAGATGGCTCAGAGGTTAAGAACACTGACTGTTCTTCCAGAGATCGTGAGTTCAATTCCTAGCAACCACATGGTGGCTCACAACCAGCTATAATGAGATCTAGTGCCCTCTTCTGGCCTGTAGGCAGACATGGAAACTAACACTGTATACATAATAAATAAATATTAAAAAAAAAAAAAAAGGCCTTCAGGAAACCTCTTAAATACCTTTTGATAGGGCAGAAACTTAGTAGGTGGGAAAGACAGAGCTGGATGCTGGGAAAAAGAGCAGAGTCAGACAGACGCCATGATTCTCCTGCTCAAGATGAACGCTGGTTTGACTCATGCCGGTAAGCCACAGTCAAGTGGCGATACACATTAATGGAAATGGGTTAATCAAGATGTGAGAGTTAGCCAATAAGAGGCTAGAGCTAATGGGCCAATTTCTGTGTGATTATTTCAAGGGTTAAGCTAGCCAGGCAGCAGGACACAGCCCACTGCTCGTCCCACAACATCACAGAGATCCACTTGCCTCTGTCCCTTGATTGTTTGGATTACCAGGGATTACCATGCCTGGTTCTAAGCAGTTGTTTAAATATATGGTCACAACAGATGGAAATGACTCACCTCCTGTAGTACGTAGAGGTCCATTGTTAAAAAAGCCATCAGAAGAATTATGTCGACGACGGCTTACTCCAAATCTACCTTCTCCACGGGATAGGTGCTCTCCGTGTTTGTCAAAGGTGGCTATAGATGACTAACATAAAAGATAGAGAGGCAAAGACTTAGTTTCTTTCAGTATCTTATTGGGTTCTAAATCAGGTGTTCAAAAACAAAAACCCGTTGTGGTAGTACAGTATCAACACTAAGAAGACCGTGAGGTGACTGCCACGAGTTTCAGCTCAGCTATACAGGAAAACCTTGACTCAAAAGTAAACAAATAAACAAAAGCTAATATTATAGATGTGAGCCATCATAACCAGTTTATTACAATTTCTGTTTTTGAGTCAGGGCCTCATTCTCTAATTCCAGAGGCCTAGAATATACTATGTAGATTAGGGTTTACATCAGACTTGTGGCAATCCTCCTACTTTAACTTCTAGAGTACTGGATTATAGTCATGATCTACCATTCCTGTATTACCATGGTCTTAAAAACTTATTTCTAAACATTACCTCATATTTATAGCAATTCTATAATTTTAGTATCAGTTTCATTTTATTTATACACGAGGAAAAAAAAATCAAGCAGATTAAGTCTTTAAATATACACAAAAGAAAGAAGCCTTTGAAAGATCACAGATTAACTTTAATATTCCTATTCCAAGAGCACCTACTATATTTACCAAGGCAAGGACTCTCAGTCACACTCGCCTAAGAGATCCTGTTTCCATCTCCCTAGTACTGGGATTAACACTAGAATCACTGCAGGTTGCTATCCTGCCCAGGCTTTAAATTGAGTGCGGAGGATCCCATGCTTGTGCACCACTCTATAGACTGAGCTTTCTCCCTAGCTTCCTATATATCCTCCACCTGTAAGTGACAGTGATGGTGGACTGAAATTGTCAGCTTCACTAGGATATGGGATGTCTAAAAAAAGCATATCTTGAATATAATTAAGAGTGTTTTCCGAGGAGCGTTAGTGAACTGAGCTGGAAAGAGCCTTCCTGAGTTGTTGGCATTATCTATGTAATGTGAGGAAAAGGCAGATGAGCAAAGTACACACCGTCCAGCATTTCACCCTATTTGAACAGGGACCTTTTTGGTTTTTTGCCCTGCTACCAGTAAGGGAGAGATTCTATTTCTTAGCCTTTAAACACAGACTTGCTTCAGCCATGTTTCAAAGACCTTTGAGAGCACTTGCACATATGTTTACACACACATTTGGAAAAAAAAGAGGTACTGGCTTTAAGGTAGACATTGATGTGAATAACGCAAATAATGCATAATTACTCAAACTCAAGGTTTGTTTTTTTTTTTTTTTAGATTTTACAAGTGTGTCTTGCCCAAATGTATGTATCTAAGTATACCACATGCACATTAGGTGCCCAAAAAGATTAGAAGAGGGAATGAGATCCGTTATGGATGGTTGAGCCACTGTATGAGTTTTGGGTGTCAAATCCAGGTCCCTTCAAAATAAAATAAGAACAGCAATACAGCCTGAACCTGAAACAGAAGTCACAAACCAGTCAGGATGAAACTGGTATGTTTGGGTAGTTACTGCAGGAATGGAAGACAGTACCTTAGCTGACTGTGGCGTTGAGAAATTTAGCCAAGCAGGAACAAAGTCATGCTGCGCCATTTAGGTCCAGTGTCTTTTCAGCAAGATGAGGCATCCAACCTCATGGCCAGGATCTAAAAAGAGACAACACAAATCACTCATGTATGACATAAAGAGTCTGTGATTAATCTACAATCTTCCTTTAGAAGACTGAACCCCTGAATTTATCTACAGATTACTTCCAAGGTTCCAAATCTCAAGAATTCTAAGAAAAGCAGTGTTTTATGACTATGAAAACACACACACGAGATGAAAACATGAAGGGTTATATGAAGGAAGCAAATGTGTTCTTGAGTTTTAATACCTTTTTAAAAAAATTACAGTAGAAGCTGGGCCTGGTGGTGTACCCCTTTAATCCCAGCATTTGGGAGGCAGAGGCAGGTGGATCTTTGTGAGTTCAAGGCCAACTGTCTACAAAGCAGGTTGCAGGACAATCAAGACTGCTACACAGAGAAACCCTGCCATGAAAAAAACACAACCCCTGCCAAAACAAACAAACAATAACAACAACAAAACAAACAAACAAATAGATACCTATAGAACATTGGTTCTCAACCTGTGTGTTGCAACCCCTATGGGGGAGGACCATTCATGAAGGTTGTATATCAGTTATCTGTCATGAGATATTTTACATTATGATTTCTAACAACCAAAATTAGTTATGAAGCAGCAAAGAAAATAAGTTATGGTTGGGGGCACTGTATTAAAGGGTTATTAGGAAGACTGAGAACCAGAAGCTCAAACGCTTTTCCATTTACCTGACAGACATTTCTTCACACACGAACTTAGAGATTCACTGATGTACCCAAATCACTGATATTTTCCAAAATTAAATACTTCATAGCATAACACATATTTTTCATGGCATATACTCCATGTTATGTTTTCTCTAAAGACAAATGGATGATACTTACCCTCAGAGTGTCACCTCTGTGGTCCTGTTTCCAAAGTTGCCAGCTGTATCTTCCACGAGGTTTTCTTGTAAAAAGGGTGCTTAAGTAGCCTGGCCAGCAGCACGCCTTGTGATGAAGCACAAAGAAGCCCAGCTCTGTGTGGCTCACTCTCTTAATCCTCTCAATTACTCATCCTCAACTACCTAGTTCCTGACACGTTTCCAAAGGGGGAAGGGGAAGGGGAAGGGGGAAGGGGAACATAAAAAAGTTATTTGTTACATTTAAAAAAGGGGGGAAAGGGGGAAAAGCTATGTCTACGTTCACCTCATTCAACTTCCCTGAGTAAAGGCACTATGATGTTGCTTAAAAGGGCAAAACTTGGACATTTGCACAATGAGTGCAAATACTGTTCATAACAAGGTCATAACTAGAAAGACAGGTGGTCTCAAGTGTGTGCAAGAAATGTCATCAAGGTGACAGATCAAAAATGTAATAGTAAAGCAGTATAAGAGATCTTCTGAACAATCAATTCCAATGGCACAATATCCACAACAAAAGCCTTTAAAACACAAATCTTATCTGCTTAAAACAGTGTGCGGATATATTCTTTCTTTTATCTGTCTTAGACTTCAAAATCTAAAGATATAAGAAATCTTGTTTTGGTGGGGTTTTTGTTTATTTGATTTTTGAAAGGAATCAGACAGAAACTTGATTTATCTTTCCTGCCACTGAATAGCAGCTTGTTTCAAGGCAAATTTCTTGGTATAAAGCTACTAAATATGTATCCTACTTCTTTGGTCTTTACTATATATAAATTCAAAGCAAAATTATAAGTAGAAAAGATAAAGGTCAAGGAGAAAGAGAATTCCAAAATGGGGGTTTCTTCTTATCAATTTTCTGTATTTCACTTGTTTTCCTCCTTCCCAAAAACTGAACTGAGCTTCCAAAAGTGATACGAAGAATCTTCTATTGCTTTATTGAAGAAATCACTTTTTAATTTGGGTCCATCTCCATTATTACTCAATCTTTAAAAAGGCCACTTGAGTCTACCAATCTATAAATGAGAAACAAAACACATAATTAAAAGAGGCAAAACCAGTCACATCTCACTGCAAGTGAATATATCAAACCATAATCTCAACAATAAAATCCTTAAATTCAACTTGGATACTAATTTGTCATGGCCTAAAATGTGGCTACAAGCCTTTTTGTTGTTGAGACAAGGAATTACTATGCTGCTCAGGTTTCCCCTGACCTCAGCAGCCTCCTGTATCAGTCTTCCAAGCACTCAGACTACAGGCATGTCCTACCACACCTTTAAAGATTTTATGTCTCCTTAACAGATTTAAAAAAAAAAAATACAACCATTTCTCCAAGAAGCCATCAAAGGTAATTCAGAAATGCCAATTACTGATTCCTAATTGGTCAAAAGCATATACAGTGTGTAGAAATACTACCTACCACATCACTATCTGATTATCAAGTATTATTCAAAGGTAGATCATTAAGAAAAACTATTTGCCTTATATATTTACATTGTACATATTTTAGATAATTATCAATTAAGAGACAAAATCTCTTTTGATCTAAATTGATATGTACTAAGAAAGTGCAAATATTTCTTTGCCAATTCCCAATGTTCTTCCAGGGGCTACAAACATCTTTGACAGAAGAACTTTGGTATCTTTGGGGAAGTTCTAGTAGGCCGACAGATCCTAGGCATTATTGCGTTAAGTTCATGGAATGCAAAATACCAAGTCCAAGAGGTATTTAATCACTGCTTCTCAGGCTGAGTGCTGAATAAAAACATTTACTCAGTCTCTATTCTCTTTGTGTGCTTCTAATATTTAAGTATTAAAACAAGTATATACAAAGCTTAAGTAAAAGATATATGCCCTTCACCTATATTCCTTGAAAGTTTGTGGAACTGTGATTAAAAAATGACTATATTGCTGGGCATGGTGGTGTACACTATGAATATCAACACCTGGGAGGCAGATGGATCTCTGTGAGGTGCAGGCCAGGTACAGCTATAATAGAACTTTGTCTGTAGAACAATCTTTTTGTACACTGTGAAGATGTGCTTGCCAGGGCTCCTTCTGATATAGAGCTGAATAGCCAATAGCTAAGCAGGAAAAAGTTAGGTGGGATTTCCAGACAGAGAGAACAAGAGAAGATGAATCTAGGCATGGGATAGATGCCAAAGGATAAAGAAACAGGAGGTGCAAGATGGAAGAGAGGAAAAAGGCCATGAGACTATAAATGGTTTAATTTAAGTTATAAGAGCTAATTGAGACAAGCCTACACTATAGGCCAAACCTTCCTAATTAATAATAAAGCTTTGTATCATGATTTGGGGGCTGGTGGTACAAGAAAATCCGCCTACTCTATCTCAAAAACAAACAACAATTACTGAGCCAGGTGGTGGCAGCTGCAGCACATGCTTTTAATTAAAACACTTAGGAAGAAGAGGCAGTCCAGAGTACCAGGACAGACAGGTCCTCTCAAAAAACCAGCTCTCCAGCCCCCTGGGCTTTTGGTTTTTCAAGACAAGGTTTCTTTGTGTAGACCTGTCTTCTTCCCAAACTGGACAAGCAGGACACAAAAGATGAGACAACTGCCTAATTTTCCAAGACAGGGTAGGTCTGTCCTTCAAAATTCCTGCCTCACAGAAAAGTCTGTCAGATACTAATAGATGCGCCAACATTGACGTCTCTGTTGTTTCTTAGTTTTTGACGTTGTCTGCTTTGCATTTCCTGTTTATTCAAGCAATATTTGATCCTTCTTGGGCAGGCAATGCTCTTAACCACTGAGCCATCTCTCCAGCTCCCAAGGAAAGAAAACTTTGTTTTCTAGGCTATACTGTCTTTACAAGTTCACATAGAAACCATGAACAGGGTTTCTAGAAACCTCAGAGTAACAATTCAGAAGTTTGGGGATGGGCAGGCAGAAGTGAGGCCCTCCCTACTGCACACATATGTGCATGCACATACAAATAAATTAGGTGGTATGGGCAAAGTACAGGGGTCACTGTTAGTGGTTGGTGCTGAATGACTTGACTGAGGTCCCCCCCCCCCGACAAATTTGAGTCAGTATACCTTTCATGTACCAGGATTCAGCATTGCATGTTTCCTTTTTTAATTATTTATTTTATGTGCATTGGTATTTTGCTTGCATGTGTATCTGTGTGAGGGTGTCAGATCTTTGAGTAAAGCAGTTGTTAGCTGCCACTTGTGTGCTGGCAACTGAACCCAGGTCCCTGGTAGAACAGTCTTAATTGCTGAGCCATCTCTCTGGCGCCCCCCCATCTGTTTTAAATATTCTTTATTGAATCTTTTTTTATTTTTATTTATTTATTTGTTTGGTTGTCTTTTTTTTTTTTGTTTTTTTTTTTTTTTTTTTGTTTGTTTTT